TCTACAGGCTATTTTGGACAAGTATGAAGATAAGTCAACGTGCTGATTGCAAATGTAGCAAAGATTCATACTAATTATCATTCGCTTTAGTTGATTCATCTACTTTATTTGTATTCTTTATTAAAAAACTCAACATTTATTCCATACTTTTTTAAAAATTGCCTTCACTGTTCGATTCGCTACACGATTTTTGTTTTCCAACCCCCCTTTTTACCTTTTCCCTTCGCTGAGTCCCCAATAGGTTGTCCTAATGACGCTTTTCCTGACTATGTATGATTGACAAATCATTCATACATCTGAATAGAAGAACTCAAATTCTATAGTTGCCGCTTCGTGTTAAATGCTTAGCTTTGAATGACAAAAAATGAAATTTGTCCAAAATAAAGTGGGATTGCTCTTCCCAGGAGTACCATGATTTTCTTTCAGTCTAGAGCTGCTTAGTCTACTTGATATTTAAAATTATTTTATATATCTAATGCTTTTGAACACCTTTTTTGGAATATCAGTAGGGCTTTTCAGTGGTTCGCGGCGCGGATGGTTTGGACACATCGTTTCCCTTTATAGCTCATTTCGCTCCTGTGCCGCTTCCAACTTTCCCCTTCCCTTCTTTTGAGTGTACAAAATGCAAAGAAAATCTTCACTTTACAGCCAGAAATTTGTTCTGGAATTTTGCGTGGTAGAAATATTAAATATGAATCTCTAAGGCAATCACACATAGCGCCTTCAAATTTATGAACATGGTATTTTAGAGAATGTCACGTGTTAATAGGCAAAGTTTCAATAAAGAATTTGAAAATGACTTCCTACTTGACAAGTTAGCTTAGCAATAAATGGAATCTTAGAAGCATGAGCATTCACAAGGATTTAAGAAATGCATTTTGTTGAACACTTGATACAATGAGGAGTGTTGGAAGGTGGGAGAGCCACATTTAAGCTATGCAATAACGTCGTTAATCATTTCTGCACTAATGATATCTGATCTTTTCTTTGAATCCCCTCTCATAACTGATAAAGAAAATATGCAAATTTTTGTTATTAGGCTAGTAAAGCTAATTTAGGTTTTAAAAGTAAGATAGGATTTTATGTAAAATCAAGAAGATCCCTATCATAAATTCCTACACGATGTTACTCACCGATATAAATCTTCTAATTCTCAAAAATCAGATTACTATAAAACCAAAGAAATTTATTATCGAATCTTTAATGAAAAATTTACTCGTATACACTTGCGGAAACTCTCCAACAGAAGAAACCCTGCTTGTCAAATTAAGTGGC